TTTAATGGAGGCCTTGTGGTACTTAACAGTGGGCGTTTGGCTGTATATTAGAGGGTAGTTGCGCTAAAACCTCAGACCCAAAAGGTTTAGGTTTTTGGGGTTTGGGGTTTGGGGTTTGAGGGTTTTGGGGTTTAGGGGTTTTGGGGCTTGGGGTTGTATTAGCCCAAAGGGTCCAAGTACCAAAATAGCAGATACTTAATCGATATTTGGGCCTCCAACGTGTATACTATACTAGTACTTGGACCCTTTGGGAGAAATTCGTCACTTTATGTGTGGGTTCGTCTTTAGGCTTTTAGAAGCCTGTTACGTCCTACTACCCTTTTATGAGGTACCTTCGCCTCAGGCCGAGAATCAGAAGCCCTCTGATTCACACTGAATTTTCATTCACTGTTGGGGACACGGGTACACAAAATAGAGGCCTGAGTAATTGGAATAGGGTCTTGGCATATGCTGTAGCATAGTTCTATCAGAACAAGAAGGGGGCACTGCGCATTCCGACCGGCATGCTGGGTAAAAGGGCCGACAAGTATGAGTCACTATGAGTGGTCACAGCGAAGCCCTTCGCAGTGGACTCCACTATAACAGCTCCAGGACCTGATTCTTTCTAGGAGGTTCGTAGTATGAACCCTATTTTAGCATTCTTAACGACCCTACCAACAAGTGGGTTTTGGTAGTTCAACCTAAGTCTGAAGTCCTGAGCCCTAAACTTTTCAAGCTGAAAGGTTTCGGGGTTTAGGAGTTCAGGGTGATTGGTCAGAGGTCGGGGACTCTTGCTGCGACAAAAGCCCGGCAATGCCACTGGCCCTCTCCAGACGCTTGATGCATAAAGATTCATCCAACCGTAAGGGTAGCTATCCCGACGAACCCGCTGCAACTCTCAGTAACACTGAGGATCCTGCTTGTCCTGACTAAGGACATACAGCTCATGGTCAGCCGACTCCTCCGCAAAGACTCGTGTCGAGTTCACCATCGTGGGGGGTTCAAGGCTTCATGGCCCTCACACGACTCTTGAACAGCTTCTAGGGCGAAACGGCGATGCGAGGGTGAAACGTCCGATAACTTCATGAGGCTTTCCTCAGCTGTACCGACTTTTAAAATGGACGACCTGAAACCTTGGCCATAAGGACTCTATCGAAGAGTTTTTTGGGGAGTCCTGGTCTTAAGGCCCCTACTTGAAGGCTTATGGGACTTAGTAACTAAGGTTATAAGTAGGCTATAACTAGGATAACCCCAGTTAGGGGACTTATAACCACAAATATAACCTACTTACTAAGTCCCATGATCCTCCAAGTACCCCGGCACAGGCGACCCGGATGCTGTGCGATCAGCAGTCACGCGTCGAAGACGCTTTGGCGGCCTTACCAATAAGGTTTGAGATTTATAGTTTATAGGGATTTAGGGTGTAGGGTTTAGGGTTTAGGTATAGTTTACAAGCTTCACAGTGAACCCCAAAAAGTTGGAAACCTGATTTAAGGCCAAATAGTGCTGGGATTCCCTAAACATTACTCTTCAGGATTGAGGCTGTTGGGTTCACAACTTTTGGGCTTCTACTGCATTAGGTTTAAGGTTTCTAAAGCTCCGGGTTTAAGAGGCATGGTTTATACTACTACTACTACTACTACTACTACTACTACTACTACTACTACTACTACTACTACTACTACTACTACTACTACTACTACTACTACTACTACTACTACTACTACTACTACTACTACTACTACTATTACTACTACTACTACTACTACTACTACTACTACTACTACTAGTACTACTACTACTACTACTACTACTACTACTACTACTACTACTACTACTACTACTACTACTACTACTACTACTACTACTACTACTACTACTACTACTACTAACTACTACTAACTACTACTACTACTACTACTACTACTACTACTACTACTACTACTACTACTACTACTACTACTACTACTACTACTACTACTACTACTACTACTACTACTACTACGACTACTACTACGATGACTACTACGACGACGACGACTACTACTACTACTACTCCTACTAATACTACTACTACTAATAATAGAAAAAATATAGTAGTAATAATAATAATAAGGCTGCCAAACTCCCTGAAGCACAAGACACTTCAAGCCCTAAAACCTTACTTCCCCCCTCAAATATGCAAAACCCTACCTAAAACCCTCCGAAGTCGGTCCCAACCCCCAGAAACGGACATTCTTCTACTTGTTTTGGGTTCAAGGGGACTTAGTAAGTCGGATATAAGTAGAGTTATAGCTGGGGTAACTCCCTTTAGGGTACTTATAACTCTACTTATCACCTACTTACTCAGTGCCCTGGGTTTGGTGCCCCGGCAACCCTTAAACCCTAAACCCTCAGCCTCAAATCCTAAACCCTAAACCTTACATTCTAAACCTTAAGCCCTAAACTCTGAACCCTAAAACCCCAACCCTTCTTCAAAACTCGGGGTGAGCCTGGACCTTTCTGACGAAGCGTAGCTCGCCATCGCCTGGTCTTCCGTGGTCCACCTGCTCGCCGGAAAACGGGTGTGAGGTGTTTGCTCTCCCTACGAACCCGGAAATTCTGGAGTCTCCATCCGCTAGAGGCCCCGTTGACTTTGCACTTGTTCCGCGGAGTCGACCACAAAGCTGATAGGTCGAAAGCGTGTGTCTTCGGGGTAGACTCTTAAAGCCTACCTCAACGCCGAAAACCCTACATGTTTAGGGACTTGTAGAAAAGAAATCACCCTACAAAAAAGTAGAGTCGTGATTTATCAATACCCCGGCGCAGGTTCTGTGCCCGAACTCGAAGACCGGCTTTGAACGAATGTAGACCGACCGCTGATTCGGAAGAGGGCTCGATCAAGCCCGTGATCCCGGCACCCCAACCGTACGCAGGAAACTGATGAAGAAACGTTGGGCCTTTATTAGGGCTCCTTTTATGAATCCTACTCTTTCGAGGGTTATAGGCCCAGGGTTTCAGAATCAGGTTCATAGATTAGCCCTTATCAACGGAGAGGGTTGTCATTCCTCTAAACCTACACCCTGAACGTAACCCCCTACACCACCCAAAACCATAACCAGATCCTACAATTCCTGAACCCTATAGCCGGAACCTAAAACCCAAGATCTAATACCCCAGCTATGATCCAAAGCCGCCGAGATACCAAGCCCCAAACTCCACATAACCCCCTGAGGGGTACAGTAGAGTTGTTTAATGGGGTTCGCTTTAAGTGATGTTATATAAGGTTGTATAGTAAGGTCCCTTTAAAGGAACCCTCCCTTGAACCCTCCAAGGATCTCTTACTACCCCAATAGGCCACAAAAAACTAAAAGGGTCAACTTTCCGATTCCTACTAGACTACAAGAACCCAAAAAATTAAAAGGTTTGGTATTTGGGGATCGATGTTATAGTAAGGTTATATCATAAGGACCTTTAAAGGAACTCCTCCATGAACCCTCCAAGGATCCTTTAAGACAAGCCTTGGACTCTGCAGTTTCCAGGCTATCTCGGCGCACTGGGCCTCTGCAGATCCAGGTTGGCTCGGTCTACCCACTTACCCTAAGGGTCCAAAGGATCCAGTATTTAGGTACTTGGGTTTCGGATTATAGTTGTATACTTGAAGGCTCATGGGACTTAGTAAGTAAGGTTAGAAGTAGGATAACCCCACTTAGGGGACTTATAACCCCGATTATAACCTACTTACTAAGCCCCATGATCCTCTAAGTAGGTTGCTACTTGGGAGAGTATATGATTACGAAGTACTTGGACGTTTAGGGTATAGTGAACCATACCTATAGGCTCATACCCTACCCCTTGTTTAAGATACCAAATGCTTTAGTCCGGATTCGTTACACACAAGGGTATGAGCTTCTACGTAGAAAGTCGGAACATGGTTTGGGGATGGTTAGTGCTAGGATGTGTACCTCAAGGGTATGAGTATAATCATGTTCCAACTTTCTGGCTTCTACTGTCAGGGTTTAGGGTATAGGGGTTGCATGGGGTTGTAGGGTTTAGGGGCTGAGGGTTTAGGCTTCTTTCTTTCAGGATTCCTGTCGTGGTTAAAGGATGCCTGAAAAGGCTCCTTGCATGGTCCCTCCCTATTGTTGTCTTTGCAGGGTTCCTTTTAAAACTGCTGAAAGAGTTCCGGTTTGGATTCCTGAAGGTCCTTGAGGAGTAATTACTACGAAGCGGCTTGAGTGGGTGGGGTTTGAGGTCAGCAACGTAGGGCTAGGATACTTAAAGGATCATGGGACTTAGTATCTGGGGTTATAATTAGGGTAACTATACTTACAACCCCAATTAACGTACTTATAACCTTACTTACTAAGTCCCATGATCCTCCAAGTAGGGTGTAGTATTCAGGGCGCAGCATTCTCACCGACCAAAGAGTCGGTTCGAGTTCTGTTGAACTGCATGCGCCATCTTGCTGGTAGATGTGTTGTAGTTGTAGTTGCAATCTTGACCATGTCGCTCCAAAACCCCAAACTCAAAACCTCGAGTCCTGGAGTTCTACACTCCCAAACTGCCAAATTGCAAGTAAACCCTACACCCTAAACCCCTAGACCCTAAACACCCAAACCCCTAGACCCTATGCCTCAAACCCCTTCGCTCTAAACCCTAAACCCCCAAACCCCAAACCCCTAGACCCTATGCCTCAAACCCCTTCGCTCTAAACCCTAAACCCCCAAACCCCAAACCCCTAGACCCTATGCCTCAAACCCCTTCGCTCTAAACCCTAAACCCTAAACCCTGAATGCGTAAACCCTAAACCCCTAGACCCTAGCCTTTGGCTAAACCCTAAACCCCTTAACCCCTAAACCCCAAAACCCCAAAACCCTAAACCCCTAAACCCCTAAACCCTAAACCCCTAACCCCCCCTAAGCCCCTAAACCCCTAAACCCTAAACCCCTAAACCCCTAAACCCCTAAACCCCTAAACCCTAAACCCCTAAACCCCTAAACCCTAAATCCGACCCCACACTCTTGGCATGATTGAAACATCGAAAAGCGCCTTGGCAACTGCGTCGAAGCCGAGCACTGGGCTCGCATTCCGGAGCCAAATCTGAAGCAGAGTGATGGGAGGCCAAAAGGGGGGTTTAAGATTCTTGGGGTAGGGATTCCTTAACATGAACCCTATTATGGGAACCCTAATCCCTACTAAACCACCGTAGGCTAAAACCCCGTTTGGCCTCCTACGACAGAGGCAAATGCTGCTTGGAGTTTAGGCTTTGGGATTTAAGGGTAAATCTGAAGCAGCGGCAAGTTTGGGGTTTAAGGGTTAAGGGTTGAGGTTTAGAATTTGGGGGGTTTAACGGTTAGGGGTTTGGGGTTTAGGGGCTTAAGTGGTATGCTGTTTGGGGTGTACAGTTTATGGTTTACTGGTTAGTCACTTTTCTTTTTTTGTTTGAGGGGGGGGGGTTGGGGGCTTAAGTGGTAAATGCAATGCAAGTAGACTGGTGTTGCAGGTCTCCCGGCGCCAAACAATTAGAGCAGCATGATCGTCTACTTGATAGATCACTGTGTGTCAGTATTATGACCCAGACTGAAACACAAATATCTGTAAGTGTATCTCTACTAAGGGGCCTCAAAATTTAGAATTTTGGGGAGATTTATTCGCAGTAAGGAACCCACCCCCTATAAAAATCTGAAAGCTCCTTGAAGGGACTGGGCTTTCTCGTGTCTCGAAGTTACGGTCTTAAGCTTTGCAATTGCAACTTGGGGTGGAGGGCTTGAGGATTTGGAACTGCTCCATTGAGGTCAACTACTCAAGCCGGGCTCAGCTTGGGGTCAGGGTTTAGGGGTTCAGGGTTTAGGGGTTTAGGGGTTTAGGGGTTCAGGGTTTAGGGTTTAGGTTTAGGCTGAACTCTGAACTAGACTTCCCCTCGGCCCCCAAGCACAAACCAACAGCCCATGAGTGCAGACCTCAGATAAATAGAAACCCGCTTCACTAGAGGCCGTAGAAGTAGGATCCTTACACGCCTACCTTAGAGATACGCAAATGACGGAGGGACCGTATGAATTGGAATCGGGTTTGGGGTATATTTATGGTATATAGTTATCCAGAGGAAAAGTGTTCAGTAGCCACTCAAGCCCATAGCACATCAGCCTGTAAATGGCGCACCTGTGAAGCAGCTGCACTGACAGGAGTTTCCGCCCAGGAGCCAAGCCACTCCTTCAACTTTGTCTTTTATTGTGAGGTTGTTTTGATTGTTTTTGGCAGGGTTTTGGCCTGTTCTCAGGGTACGAGACAGGCTCAGGATTCAGATGGGGATCTGAGGGTTTAGGTTCTGAGGTCAAAAAAGCAACCCCCAAATCAACCCCAAGCCGAGACGCGAAATCCGAAGGCGTCAAGTCAAGCCTGACACCCAAACCCAAACGCAGAACTATAACCCCAAGCCCCCAAAAGCAACCCCGAAAACACAACTTGAGTTCAAGGCCTGAACCACAGACCCTGAACTTACATCCCAAGCCCTGAAGCCCTCAACTCAAAACCTCAAGGCATAAACCCGCAATCCTGACTCCCAAAGCCTAAACTGTCCTAAACCCTGACAGAACACCCCAAACTTTGTCCGAAAGCCATAAAACGTAGCCTGAACCATGAACCTTTACCCTAGTCCCTCAAGTCCTAAGTTTAAAAACCGAGCCCTGAAGTTTCGCAAACCCTACTTACCGTAACTCCTTTTACGCCTACCTTTGTCAAGCTCCGTATTCTCCAGGTTTTTGTTGGGCTCAGTTGGGCTCAGACCCTACGCCCGAAAGTATCCGAGGCTCCGAAGCATCACGAGTGAAATGGGCGCCAAGGTCGCAGACCTTCCCCGAGCGTTCGTTGATCAATAGGGTCTGGTTGTACATAGGGGCTCAATTAATTCGAGTAGGGTATCTGTAAATAAAGAACCCTAAGGAATGGTATTGGTAGTCATTTAGAGTCTTAGAGGCTTCTATAGTACCCACAGGCTCCATCTTCTATCATTGTCAAATTAGGCCCCAAAACACTATCCCTATTATGGCTGTAGGGACCTAGTTAGTTCCATAATGGTAGCAACAATGGGGCTTGAATGTAAATAGAATAGCTTGTCATTGCTTGACTCGTTTGGCTGCGCTTTTATTGTGGGATATTCTACGGTAAGTCTACATCTATAAACCTCTCTCAATCAATATAGCTGTATATACATGTACATATAAATATGCATATGTATATATATATATATATACATACATACATACATATTTGCATATGTATATATGTATATGTATATATACGAAGAGGTACTACTCGTAGTTATTCCCAACCCTATACCTGTGCTGTTTAGTGCACCCTTCCTAAGACCAAAAGCGTCCGCGTACAAGGGTTCCTTGAAGGGCTCTGTTGTATGTATAGCTGCACAGACCTATACGGTACGCTGGCCATATGTTAACGGGCTTCCCATGTTGGTGCCTCATGTACCATGTGGATGTATGGACCATCAGGGTCGGGGATTGTAGGTCGTTTCTGAATGCTTCTGGTTTTTGTACAGGGTTTGTCCGCGAGTAGGTTTAAGGTCGAGGGGTTAGTAGATTCACGTGGCATCTCCAATACAGTTGACAGGAGTGCAATTCAAGCAACATCTGCAGTAACAGTAAGCAAACCTGCTCGACAATAACCTAGGATCCCAATAGCCTCAGAACAAAAAGGGCTCGCTTGTGGGTATTGAGTAGGTTTCTGCAAGGAACCTATAAAAATGGAAAAAGTGCCCAATGAGGTCTAGTAACTGTCCAGGCGTGGCAACAGCGACTTGCACTGTCGGCTCTAGCATCCGGTTCAGGGTTTATAGGGTTTAGAGGCTCGTCCTCCAAGAAGGCTACAAAAATTCAACAGGACGTGTATAGCAGACTCATTTCATTCCAGGAAGAGCGTGAAACGTGGCATGCCGTCGGAACACCCTTCCCCCGGCCCTAGGTCTTGAATCTTGGTTTTCCTAAGCCAAAAACCCCAGACTCGGAATCTCGAACTTTCACAAATCTCAGGATGAGGCATTTTCGCGCCAGGCCTGAGATCAATGTGAAAAGCTTTACTGCCTTCTTTGCCAGGGTTTCGACGACGCTGGGGTACTGCGGGAGGCTGATCTGAGGTGTTTATAGACTCTACTTAAAGGATCCTTCAAGGGGTCCTTATAGGGATCTATAGGGCTTCCTTAAAGGGATCTATAGGGTTTAGGGTCTACCTAAAGGATCATGGGACTTAGTAGCTAGGGTTATAATTGGGGTAACTATACTTATAATAACCCCACTTAAGGTACTTATAACCTTACTTACTAAGTCCCCTGATCCTCCAAGTAGAGTATGTTGCTTCGGTCATATGGGTGGTTGTCCAAATTATGGTCCCTTTTTGGGTCCTTCTTATAGTACGGCACCTAACATTTAGGGTAACCCAAAAGGGGCCATAGTTTTGACAACCACCCATATAGGCATATTGGAGCCTAACCAATTTGCATTGTGTTTCTATTTTTTGTTTATCCTCAGCGTGCTATGCTGCGGAACCCTGAGGGCCCACGCGGATCCATATCTCTCTCGATGCAGACGCTCCGAAGGCCCGAACATCCTTTGCTTCCAATCTAGGAATTTGCAGCCGCCTAAGACTGCAAACAACCTACAGTACCTTTGCCTACCAAACCCTACGTTTTTTGTAGGTTCTTACTATGAGCCCTAATATGGAGTTTATAGGGACCCCCTACAAAGTAGGGTTTTGTAGGTTAAGGTAGATACATGGTTGCAAGAACCTACTGTTCAAGCGCCATGCGCCATGTCATTCGATCGTATATAGCATCTGATTTGGGACTTATAGAGATGCTGAAAGTCAAAATAGCAGTGAGACTGGCGAAACTTGGCTTCCCACCAGGCCGACATCGTGCAAGCCTCTCGCATCGTCTTGTACCAGGTTCATGAAAGCAGCCGTTCTTTTTTTTGAACGCCTTTTCCCTTCTGTTAGTGCTGCTGCGACTACCGTCCGAAATCCACCTTGTGGAAGGCAAGTATCCCTTCGATCCCTAAAGCAGCCGGTTTAGGGCTTAGGGTTGATCTAATCCCGGAGTCCGAAGCCTCAGATACGGCTTCTCTCAAAGGGCTCCAAAGATGGGATGAAGGTCGGCGGGATTTTGGCAATTCAAAGTCCTTATATGAAGGGATCCTTCATCCTACCTACCTTCATCCCACCTTTTCAAGCCTCCGACTCTCTGTTTCTAAGCACCTATATAGTGGGCTTTCAACGAAGCGCCTAGGGGCTTTCAACTGGTCCGGGCTGAGGGCTTCTTTCAGATTTCCAAGGAACTCCCTGCTGATACTCTGAACACTAAGCCCTGAACAGTGACACCCCACAAACCATGTTTCCCAAAGTGTCATAGGCACTTTTTGGGAGATACTTTCCCACATCCGAATATTTACTAATCCCGACTAGAATCCCTACGTTCTACCACGTAGGTACTTAGGACCCTTTGGGTTTAGCTCTGGGTTTCTGAATAACCCCTTTATAATAAGGGTACCCTTTTTCCTAATATTCGGTTTTAATAAGGGGACCCCAAACTAAAAAGGGCAAAAGGGCAGTACTCAGGAACCTAGAGCTTGTGTTCCAGGCTTGTGGGGCTCAGGGTCTCCAGCTCAAGGGGTTCGGAGCTTCGCGCTGGATTTGGCTTCAGTTCTGCCTACCCTGAAGCCACAAACCAAGCGCAAACCCTGAAACTCAAAGCCGGAAACCCGGAGGCCCTAAATCCCTGAACCCGAACCGTATACTAATCTTTATAGAACCCGAAGCGCATTAAAGCAGCCCTTTCAAACGCCCGATGGCCTCCCGTCTCTGCGTCGGAAGCGGAGGGCAGTGTCTTCAGCTCAGCAACCATCGGCCTCAACAGACGGCGCTTCGGAGAGCTTAGAAGGGCTGTGCACGGAGTCCAAGGAAGGGTGCTGTCAGGACTCCTACAACTCCTAATTACACGGGCTTCTTTAAGGGCTCCTTTCAAGAATCTCTCCATGGTTGCATAAGGCCTGAAAGAGTCGCCTGAGCAGTTCTATTCGGGGTTCTGCAAAGAATCCGGTAAAGGTTCTGCCGGTGTGTTTCAACGTGTGCTTTAAGGGTTCTATACGGGCTTGTGTAGCGGTTCTGCAAGGCTGTCTTCGGTTCCTTTATGCGTGCCGGGACACTTTCGGCAAGGATGTCTGTACGATTTGTAAACAGGGGTTCGAGGTTGGAAGAAAACGTTGAGGGGTCTCCCGCTTGGCTGAAGGGAGAATATAATGGCCTTGCGAATTTGAATATACATAAAGCATCGTCACTTTAGGTGGGCCTATAAGGGGAGACTATCAGTACATGCTCACGCTCCTACATTGGGGTTGAAGCAGGGTTCCTTTAGATGTTTCTCTATAATAAGAGTTCTATCAAAGCTGCAGAGTTCGGTTGTGAGTTCAAGGTTCTGTGCTTCAGGATCGCAGTCGCCTTGGGAATCCAAAGGGGGTCTTACTCACCAGAATGCAGCCTTGGATCCCACCCCAACTAAACCTAAACCCTAAACCCTAAACCCCTATAACCGTCAACCCAAATCCTAAACTGAACGCTTAGCCCTAAACTCGAACGCGGCTTCAGATTTCATTGTCGAGGAACGCTCGGAGCTCCAAGGAGTTCGAGGCTATGCTGAGCAAGAGTCACAGAGGCCCTACTTGGACCCTAAAGAACCTAATTACCTGCTTTGGGTTTTTTGTTTGTAAATATTCTCCTTATATAAGTCACTCAAAAATAGGCTATTTGCGTTTGTTGCTGATTGCTTTCATTTATGTCACCATGGATGACCCTATCCGCCATAAATGGTCATGATCATATCCCTGAACAAGAAGATGATGGGACATGTGGTGGCGGTCGTGATCAAGATAGCCGTGGTGCTCCATGGTATCAATAATTCAATAATTCAACGTGAAAGCACGGGTCACGCCAGGTAAGCAAGCTGGGACCGGAACTGCAGCACTTTGCGGGTTACCTCGAAGCTTGCAGCAGCTTGCCGGGCTGTGAAAACCTGAACCTAAAGCCTAAGGTGCACAACCCTAAACCCTACACCCTACGAAACAAACCAGTTCTGCACACATGCGAGCGCCAGATGAGTTCCCTGAACCTTGGAGCCGAGGTCCTGTCTAGAGCGCATACCCCTAGGGGCTCAGCACCCTAGCCCCCCCCAAAAACGGTTTACTGTTGAACTTATAGTAGGATTATAGAAGTCCTCAAAGGCTAAAAGGTACAAGAATACTTACTCAGCCCCCAAGCACCAGGAACACACCTGGCTAGTCCAGGTCAGGCCCTCTAGGCTGCACCATGTCAGGTCAGAGGTCCAGGATGATTCGAATGCCCTACCCTAGGTCTCTAAAGACTCATATATTGAGGCTTTTTTGGGCCCAAAGACCATGCTATATAAGGCCTTTGGGCCATTTTGATCCGCAGGGCTACACATCCCTGACCTCTGATCTAAGCTTTCTGGAATAGAACGTTTGAACATCTCCCAGAGCTTTTAGCATGAATAAACTGTTTTGCGCATCATCGAAGCAGATTTTCCCAGGGTTTCGGGGCTTTGGGCTTTCCAGGGATCGGCCGAACTACTCTGGACTCAACTGCCCTCCCCCATACAGACATGGGGGTTAGAATGAGTTCTGGGGTCCTACTACGGTGCAGTTTTATGAGGAATGCAGAAGGATATCCGGACAAATTGTTCCGAACCCAACAGAATGAAGGTTTCTGAAGGTTTTCCTTCAACCAGAAGAAAAACCCATGGGTGGTTGTCAAAATGATGGTCCCTTTTTAAGGCTCCCGATTATAGTACGGCACCTAATATTTAGCGTACCCAAAAAGGGACCATGTTTTTATTCTAACCAGACGAGATCTACGCAACTGCACCGAACCCCCGCAAGTGCGTCTATCCTCACATCCCAGGATCCCCGGTATCCTTGAAATAACTTTGGCTGCTCCCGTTTTGGCTTCGGGTAGTTTTATATAAGGAACCTAATTTCACACAAAAGGAAATGGCCGATTGGGAGACCTAGTTCAGTGCCTCTCGTTCATCCTTATATCTCTCTGCATACACTGGATCCTTATCGTCTAAAACAGTGAAACCCCAAAGCTGCTGGTGTATGCTCCAGACACGGTACATCATAATCAGCATGTAAAGTGTGTAATATATATATATATGTATATATATATATATACAGATTTGTTTTATGTATATCTATTTACGAATTAGTCTGCTTATCTGTCGATATCTATCTATCGATCTATCTATCTACTTTAATATTCGTATGCACAGGTACATGACGAGGCAAAGCCGCTACTATAGAAGCCTAATGATTACCAATATTATACCTCGGCAATAAGGAATTATATAAAAAGTATACTATGAATGGGCCCCAAAACCCTATTCTAAACTACTTATTAAGGCCCCTAGATTCAGTGCTGCCGGGGCCGGGGCCACATCGCCACCTGAGAGCCCGCGTGGGCGGAGAGAGGAAGCAAGAAGAAGCCGCTGCGCCTCCGGGATTGAAATTTGGGCTTCATGGATAGGGTTCCTTTAAGGGCTCCTTCCAAAGGGGGGCTATACGGATTACTATAAGGGGTATTATGGGCTTTAGGGCTGAGGGTTTAGGGCTTAAAGTGTATGGGTAGAGTTTAGGGTGCAGGGTTTAGGGTTGAGGCTTTAGGGCTGCGGGTTTAGGGTTTAGGGGTAGGGTTTAGGGTGCAGGGTTTAGGGTTGAGGCTTTAGGGTAGCTTTGGTTCTTTTGCTTCTGAATTCCCGTCTCCCAGCAGAGATCTGCTGAGAAGGCCAACCCAAAAGCTCCATAGCCATATAGTAGGTACTTAGGCCTCAAAGTACCCATATAGGGACCCTTCAAGGCCTAAGTGCTTACTACATGGGTACATGGAGTCTTAGGGCACGAGGCCAGGAACATGTAAGTAAGGGCATAATAGGATTGAGTAATATTTCTTAACATACTTCAGACTTAGGGTATATATGTTTAGGGTAGACCTTGTCGCACAAGACCTCGAGAATCCCGCGGTAGCCATAAGGGTCCAAGCTGGGGTCTGTTGGGTCATGAGGGCATGTGCTATTACTCCTGAGGGCATGTGCTATTTTCTATCGGCTAGTGCTTGGGCTTGCCTAAAGTATCCAATGTACCTCCAAAAACAGGATATGGACCTTAGCAGATGGTACATTTACCTGCTTTAAAGTATCTAAAATAGTTTAAGTAGACACGAGAACCCCAATGTTGGGTGCTTCCAAGCTGGGCCGGCAGGACTTGGAGTTTTAGTACGGTGCCCATGTCACTTATAGAGGGGATTCGCACCCAAACAATACTAGACTCCGATCATAGAAACCCTACTTTCCACTATATAGGTTATTAAGAACCTTTGTTAGACCTTGGGCCAAACACCCTTGTCGTAACCGTCAAAGGAACCCTTTTACTATAGCAACCCTTTAGACGAAAGTTTATAGTGACCCTTAAAGGAACCCTCATAGTAACCCTTAAAGGAAAGCCTTGTAGTTACACTTAAAGGATCCCTTCTTGTTGGCAATTAACCCTTAAAGGAACCCTCATAGTAACCCTTCTAGTAACCCTTAAAGGATCCCTTCTAGCAACCCTGAAAAGATACCTGGGACCCCTCTAGTGACCGTCTGGACGCCTTGCTCCGTGCGGAAGGCCACTGTTGACCTTTCTCCAAGGCCAGCGAAGTTGCGTTGTGCACGAGCACCTTACACTAGGGCTCCAGTTACCTAAATAGTATATAGGTTACTAACCATATATTCTATACCCGGGTAACCTACTATTTAGGCAAACTGGAGCCTTAGGGTGAGTTTTTGCTTGCTACGGCCTAGTGGTTTAAAAGGTTTAGTGTTTATAGGGTTCCGTGTTTCGGGCCACTGAGGTTTAGGGTTTGGGGGATTCGGGGGCTAAGTATGGATTAAGGCTTATAGGGCTTAGGGATTTAGGGATTAATAATGCATTACGCACTGACTTAGCTTTGAGCTGATTCACTCGATCCACCACCTCCTTCACTTCGATCTTGCCAGCGTTCAGGTGATCCACCAATGATCTCAGCAAACTCTCGACGACGGGGCTGGCATCTTGGCGGATCTGCACACACTGCTTGTCCTGCATCCTGTCCCAGACCACCCACGACCACGAGCTCTGACTTTATGGTGCATGGGTGGAGGGCAGGACATTCAGGGAGAAAAGCCAAAGCCGACGGGGTGATGACCCTAATTCACCCTAGACATGCCAAGTGCACCATACGGCATGAAGAGGTAGTACCGGGTCGAGCCCTCAGAGTGCAGCTTCATATCAGGCTCTGATTAATTACTGTCCAGGTCTCCATACAACCAAAGAGCCAAATAAAAACCTTGCCAAATAAAAACTTGGTCGGCGAGGCGTCGTGCGGAAAGACGCCCAGACCTTCCAAACTCCCTTATAAATCAAGGAATATACCTTAAATCATATTAGGGACCTTGTTATAGTAAGGTATCTTCCTTGCTTAAGGATTTTGGAAGGTCTGGGCGGGTTCCATACTTCAACGCTTCGCGATTTCATATCAAACTGGAAGGAGCCATCTCGCTCCGAGGCTTGTTGAGGCTCCCCTCATGGTTCAAGGGACGGTTAAGGTTTAGGGTTTATGGTTTGGGGTTTAGGGGTTTAAGGTTTAGGAGAAAGGGTTTGGGGCCCCAAAAGTAGACACATTTTGGGGTTCAGGGTATGGGATGGTAGTAGCGCAGGCCAGCCTGACAAATCCCAGCGAACCATCAACCCAGCTGACATGAAACTCATGAAACGGCAAACCCTAAAACCCAGAACCCTAAAAACCTAATTCCTAAACCCTAAAACCTAAACCCTAAACCCTAAAACCCTATACCCTAAAACCCTAAACATGAAGCAACGACTGAATAACGCTGGGATTCGGCGGCCGCGGAACCAAACCCTGCTAACAAGTGGTATGGAAGACTTGCAG